ATTACCCGACAGTTTAACTGAGGATCCAGCTTCACTGAGGTTGAGGACATATGTTCATTAGACACAAACAGAGCTAGTTTGCATTAAAAAAATATCAGCTGAAGCCTAGAAGAGTAGACAATGGGCTGAAGGCTGGGCTCACTTAGGATGCTCTTTCTAGTCATACTTTCCTTATAGCATTTTTCACTCCTGAGAGGAACTGCACTTTATACACCGGCCTGCCTTCCCTCAGGTGTCCTGTAGGTCAGGCTGCTCTAATACTTCCTAAAGTTAATGTCCTTTCCTCACTCCTGGACAGAGTCTTCTCACAAAGAAATGACGCCAGGTTCAGCACAGAGATTTCGGTAAAGAACTAAACAAAAAGCTGACAGTGGTTTCTGGGTCACACTTTCAGAAGGGTACATTTTGTTCTTGTTGGTGTCAGTCCAAAATAACATCAGTCTAAAGTTTACTGGAATTTATTCTGGCTTACACCATCGGAAGTGAAAGTGAACCAGTTTCAAGAGACAAGTACATTTCGTTGATGGTAGGACTGGATGAGTGCATCCTTCCTGCCGGCACCCTACTTTCCCATCATACCCCCTGGTAAGTGGTAGCATCAGTCATCAGTAACATTACCCATTTAAAAAACCATGGCACTTGTGCCGGTAGTATCCAGTTAACTTTATTCTATGCTCTATTTCATCAGCATAACAAAGCACTAACTCTGATTTCCATCTGTCTTGAAAAGCCTTCTCAATTTAGAAGCTTTCAATCAAGATTTTATCAATATTTTTTATTTTAATAAAAAAATAAAGTTAACATGGCATTTAATTGATTTTTTTTATTTTTAGCTAACAAGTGAAAATCTACTTTATATTTTTTTATGCTCTGCAGCTTTCTGTACTATAAACTCATACTGATAAAGGAAGACACATCATATAAGTTCTACAAGTATTCACTTTTCTTTCATAGACATCTTTTGCTAAGCATATATAGTGTAAGAGGAGAATAATTTCCTAACACTGACGTGTAATATGGAAGGTTTGCATTGCCATAATGTGAAACACAACTTCTTTTTTTTTTCCCCAGGAATAAGAAAAGAGACATGTAACAATAGTTTCTCACTAGCAAGAACAGCTGAGATGCATTAAAGACCAGTCAGCCACAAAATAATTGCTTTAAACTTGCACCTGCTTTTTTTTTATTTTTTTGATTTTTTTTTTAATTTAAAGAGACAGATGCTAGGAGGTCAGGCTAAGGTAAGGCATACTGAGGATAGAGAGATCCTAAATGCAGAGTGGGGCTATGCAATTGTCTCTTCTGGGACAGGTGAATAAGATATAAAAGAATGTACACTTTCAAAAAATAACTTTTTGCACGTCATTGCAATGTAACACTTTTTTTAACCCATGATTACAGCATGGAAAGTTCTTTACCCTACTAACTTGAAATCTCTTCTAGTTTTAAACAAATTTCCAATAGCTAATCATTAAACTAGGGGCATAAAATCCTTGTGAACGCAGAAGTTCCACTGCTCTGAATCCTTCCACTGTTTGAGAGAAACAGTTAGATTCAAAAAGTAATGACAGCTCTGAAAGGGGAAAAAGGTGGCATCTGTACCTGGTCAGCTGTTTACCAGAAAAGAAGTAAGACCTTTGCAAGCCTGCTTCTTATCAAATTTAAAGGAAATAAGAGGCAAAGTGGGCACAGGCTGTTTTCATGATATCCAGCTTTGAAAATCTGATCTTCACTTTACCAAGAAACAGTATCTGTATGAAGATCCTGAAGCAGTAGCGTAAACCAGTCCTCGCCCAGGGCTGTCCCCAGTTCTCCAAGCGTCCCAGAGGAAGTATGAAAGCCACTGTTGTGAGGATCTTCTCTGGAATCCCGCAAGGGAGTAGTCCGGGAGAGGTTGGACCTCCTCTGCTCAGCACTCAGGAGGCCACCACTAGGGTACTGTGCCTGGTTTGGGATACTCAGTATGAGAGAGGAATGGAGTAAGTCCACTGGAGGGTCACTAAAATAGTTAGGGGGCTGGAGCTTAAAACATCTGAAGAGAGGCCAAAGACACTGTGGGTGTTTCACCTGGAGAAGAGGAGGCTAAAGGGAAATCTAGCAGCAGCCTTCAGCTACCTGATCAGGGCTTATAGAAAAGACTGAGCTCAACTCTTCTCAGAAGTGCACAGCAAAAGGACAAGAGGCAATGTACACAAATTGCAACGACAAAAAAAAATCCCTGTGAAGGTGGTCAAACATGGCAACACAGACTAGAGAGGTTGTGAAATCCTCCACCTCAGGCAGATTTGATATAACTTTGAGGTTAGCCCTGTTTCAAGCAGAGGTTGGGACTAGATGATCTCTCAAGGCCATAGAATCATAGAATCATAGGATATCTCAAGTTGGAAGGGACCCATAAGGATCATCGAGTCCAACTCCCTGCTCCTCGCAGGACTACCCAAAACTAAACCATATGACTAAGAGCATCATCCAGATGCTCCTTGACCTCTGACAGGCTTGGTGCCATGACCACTTCCCTGGGGAGCCTGTTCCAGTGACCGACCACCCTCTCCATAAAGAACCTTTTCCTAATGTCCAAGGAATGGTCCTTTCTAACCTCAGGAGAGTATGATCCTACAAAAACCCGAGTGCTATAAATACATTGATAGGATCCACCATGCAAAGGCAGGATAAAAACAGATGTCTAGGACAAAGAAGAAACTACACGAGGGTACTTGCTACTTAGGGATGAGTTTCTTGTATCTACACTCTCAAGGAAACTCTGAATATGAAGGTGACTGGGACAAGAGAAATCAATGTACATCTAATGTACAATGCCTTTTCAAACATCTTGTAAGTATCAACAAAATAGCTGTTTGGAAAACCGTCAAATTTTCCACTCCAGTGGGAGAAAATCTGTATCCACATACCTTCTCCAATTCTTCTATGTGTATGCTATTCCAAAGTAATACATTCTTTGAATTAAAAAGGACCCAAAATATTTTACTCAGAAGCTTGTGACATAATTTTATTGTATTTTGTAGCATTCTTTCCATGACATGCCTAATACAATATTTGTAACCACTACCAAAAGGATTGTATGAGGGCATTCACTGCACTTACAAATTCGATAACCAGTAAGCAAACAGGCAGCTACAGTTCTTATTGTGCTTTTTTTTTTTTTTTTTGAAGTGAGCATTTAATATCCAAAATAGCAGCCCAGGATCAGAACAATCTTACTGTCCTTAACATTATTATGTTCTAGGTAAATATGAACATATTCTAAATGAAAGATGGTGAAAACCTCATGGTTAAGTGGAAGTCCACAAGCGGTTTCATGGAACATTCATATGTGCCTAACTACTGCACATTTTTGTAGCAACACTTGTCCTAGCTAAATATGGATATATTTGTGCTTATAGATGCTTCATTTCCCTAGTTTATTTGTAAAGCATATAACCCATAAAACTAAAACTGAGATTTGTGTGACTTTTCTAAAGTATATGTTAAAAAGAGTTTTGTAGGGGTCTGGGGTCTGTTTTACCGTTTCCTTGCTTTGTGTAGGTCATATGCAAGTTTTAGTCCTAGAACTGGAATAACTTTTCTAAGTGACAGCATAAATGACAGCCATTTTATTGTGGGCTTTTCCCAGCAAATATTAAAAAATCTCCTTGAATGCAAGCCCGATAATGCGAGATTACCAAGTTACACATCCTGAGCCATTTTAAATTCCCACATAGAAAATTCTCTCCACCTCTCCCAAAAAAAAACCCTCAAAACACACCAAATGCAGATTAAATTTGCTAAACTTCTACAAATAACTGGCAATACTGGGACATTGACTGGGGTTTGCTACACTTTTGAACGACTGAACTTACATAGCTTTTTCTTTTGTTTCTCTCCTATTCAGGTATTTGTTTGCTGTATCTGACTGGATCAGGACTAACAGAAATAAATCACTGTGCATTATATTTGAAAAAAACCTACACATACAATCTTAGATACCAAAAACTTTCCATATAATTTCTCTCCTGACACTCAAAACATTTATCATCATCATGCCTCATCTTAAAAAAGTTACATTTCTTTTTCTGAGACAAAATACACCAGGGCTGAGATAGGAGTACAGAATAGCAGAAAAGAGTCGCAGTTTACTAGTCTGGCAAGTATGCTTCAGAGCTGACACTCCACTGCAAGGGTCAGTACAAGGTAGTTTAGCCATCTGAATGTGCTTTACAAATGAGAAAAAAATCCAGTTTGTAACTATTGAGAAATATGAGAAGATACTTAAAACATAGTAAAAAGTAAACATTTACTGAATTATTTTAAAGTATATTACTAGAACCAACAGGACATAGCTTTAAACATGTATAAAGTATTATACATAAAAATGCATAGATGTACAGTAAATATGTTCATTTATATGTAGACAGAGTAATATGTACACATAGGGTCTGTTGTGCTTCTGTAAGTCTAAGCAGTAATTCCTGTGGTATATTGTCTTAAAGCAGTTTTATTATACAACTGTTTCAATGTAGCAGGTGCTGAGAACAACATACATTAATGCTAAGTAGGTAAGTCATATCCATTTACTCTTGAAATGTACAAATATAGGAAACAAAGGCCATAAATGCAATAGTACCTACACCTCCAAGACTTCCTTTTTTTTTTATTTAAATATGCACAAGTCCGCCTAATGGTGATACATAGGTTTCTTTCCTGCTTCCCTTCCGTGTCAACATGTTGACCAGGCACTCGGGACAAAATCTTTGACGCACTTCAGCACCACTTCCACTGATTCAACTCAGTGCGCTCCTGACCTTGAAGTCTTCAGGTCAAAAACGAGAGGAAAAAATAAAATAAAAAATATATAAATAAAACAAACAAGCTTGTGGGCTTTTTTCACAAGTTATTTGCCACCAATACTGTCAAAGCAGCTGAATCGTAGTGCATCCATGGGCAGGAGCATATAGCAGCTTTTGTGCACTTTGCAAAAAAATATATTAAAGAAAATCAAGTCTTTACTGGCTTGTTTTATCTGTTGCTAAAAAGATGCTGTGCTGCTTCTGAGCCCTTTCCATCAAATTCTTTTTCTTCTTTTTCTTGTCCTTTGTTTTTGTTGGCCTTCTTCCTAAAAATAGGAAAACCAATATCAATGAGTCAATTAAGTAAAGAATACAGAAGTGATATTAGACTGTAGTCAAAAAACTCAGTGGCACAGAAATTATCGATGGGGACTGTAAAGGTAATGCTGGCTAATGAGTTTTGATCATCAGTGAAAACAGAAGTTTTCAATGTGGTACAAGGGGAAGCAAGATCCTCGACTGTCATCACTTGTCCACAGGCACAATTTTGCTGGTATGAGTAACCACGTTGATGTAGGTCTCACTTTTGTCAGGAGAACTCATGCAACCAACATTATGCAAGTGCCTGGGGCCCAGGGCCAAACAAGTACGTAGACTCCTAACTCACTGAAAGCTGGATACATGCCTTAGGCCCTTGTGTAAATTTGCTTCAGTGAGTAATCCTATTTAAGTCAAGTCCAATATATCCGTGATTTCAATGAGAAATTAGGCATTACAGCCCAAGTATTTGGTTGGATGGCATCCTACATGCTTTGGCAGAAACAGTGCCGCCTCTGTGAAGAACTGCTATTATTGCTTATTAGTACACTGTGACTAATTCTCACAGCATATTACTGTGCAGAAACAAAAATTTCATTACACGCTTCTTACTATTGGAAGTTCACTGAAAAATAACCAAAATTGGGAAATCAGGATCAGTGCAGGAAAAAAAATTCTCAGGCTCCTGGGATGGGAAAGTTTTTTCCTGTTCAGCTCTAATAATAAATCAGTGCCCTTTGATTATCTCAGCAGAGATACCATGGACTGAAAAAATGCTAGATACAAAGGCCCTCATTCAGCAATGCATTATCTTTTAAGTATATGCTTAAATCCTATCAAGTCTAGTAGGATTTAAGGAGATGACTGAATATTGTCTGGAGTGAGAACAATCTGGGTTTTCTTGGCAGCATCATATACTGAAATATGTGATCAATGGTTAAAAAAATAAGGTTATTAATCTCTAGAGGTGCCAATTTTGTAAACTTTCAGGAGAACTAAATGAACTTAGGAAGACAGTAAAAGGAAAATCAAGTAGCAGATGACATAAAAATGTGAAAATGCATTTTTCACCTATATTGTCAGTACATTATTAATTGGGAGAAATGTTCGCCAGTCTGGCTTTGTCTTACTTCCATATTGTTTCTTAATTAAAAAGGCCCAAACCAATATGAAGCATTTTTCTCTATTTGATAGTAACACTGAATAAATCTGATTCTAAAATTATCAAAATTTATGATTCATTAAAAATATATATTTATATATTATATGTAATACTTCAGATTACATATTTGTAATATGCTGTCTAGGCTACTATTCTCTAGGAATTATTGGAATACTTGTATATAAAATAAGACAGGACATTAAGGTAATGAGCACATGAGTTTAGCCCATATTAAAATCATAAAGGTCCTTGGAGTTTACTTCTGCTTCTCATTAAAGTTTGGCATTAATGCTACTTTGGCATTTTGCCATTTACAGTAAAACCTCAGTCCAACCAATCATTAATCAAAGCAGCTTTTAAGTTAAAACTCTTTAGTAACACTGTATCTAATGACTAGGCACACCTAATGAGGTCAGAGGGAAGGAATACTTGACACAAAGTGGCATTACAACAAGATGGTTTGAATTATAGAAATTTCCATATCAAAATTTTATTACGTGATTCTACTAGTTGGTATATTGTAAGGCATCAGAACTGGGATGAATGTATAGTTCAACACTGTATTAGAACTTGCACTTTAAATATTCTAACTTTTTTAACCCGAATCTTCGAAATACTTATTAAGGAAGGAGTAGATGAAGGGAAGCAATTTTAAATGACTGACCAACGCTGCTGGTCAATTGATTCTCAGAAGACCCGCAGAATCAATTAGAGCTTTATTGGAGTTTTGCTATCCTGTTTGCTCAGTGATCTTACTTTCTGAGGTTTTTCACTGTACCAATTAGTAAAAGAAATATAAACTCCAGTCAGTGCCTCATCTAGTTTTCTCTACAACCTCCTCCAGAGAACTAGAGTAAATGCTTACTGTAAGTTTAAGGTAGGGAGAGATCCTATTATTTTTACTCTGAAAACTTTGAGATGCACAGATAAAATGACACACAACCCACTTGGTATCTCTGTCTAAGCCTTACAAAGTAGCTCCTGTAACACAAGCATCAGATCAAATTGCCAGCACTCTCCCCATACAATATCCTTAAAATAGAAATGAACTGGACTAGATTTCAGTGATTTGACACGTCATTGTGCAACAAACACATTACGGTGCTTCTGCTGCTCTGCAGCAATCGTCCCCGTACCTGCTTTTGCCCCAAGGCACACCAAAGGCAAATTACCGTCTTTTACATGTGCCATGGAGTAACAACCCGCACAGAGGCAGTACCACTGAGCCATTGATACCTGATAACTTGTTCTCCTGTCAGCGAGCTCTTTGTCTGCTCACTATATGTCCAAGTGCCCTGTTGTACAGAATAAGTTTTATTATTTTCAGGACAATATTAAACCACACAGAGAAAATCCAGATGGCTGGCAATGCTGATTCCAACTGTCATTTTAACCAGAAAACTGAATATAAAAGGTATTTCTTGGCTAACCATTGGTTCCCATATTGTTACTAGAATGAAACAGAGATTAGAGGTCAGCAAGAAAAAAGTGACTATAAAGACTAGAGAGTTCAAACAAAGTATGCTGCTGAAGTCCCCACGCATGAGAACTTTTATTAAATTCAGATTTCAATTACAGTGCTTATTTTGTCAGCAGAAGCACAGTGAACAGAAGTAACTTCTGAATATCTTGCTACAGATGCCTTTTGAAGAACATGATGTTTATGATACAGAAAGTAGATCCTCAAAGAGGATCCAGAAGCCAAACTCGCCCAGTTCCCCAGCTGGAGGGCAGTGGGGTGAGGACGGCCAATGGAGGAGGCGCTCCCCTGGGGCTGGGATGTCAGCGGCTCCCTCCGCTCTGTGCCATGGGTCGGGCGTGGAGAACCTCGTCCGCAGGGACCCTTGCACGGTGTCCCTCACACCTCGCCATGCTCACTGCTCCTGAGAGCAAGAGCCCTGACCCCAAGTCCCTCTCTCCATAGGAAGCAGCAGGGCTCTGCTGCACTTGGCTTTGCTGGGGCAGTTGAAAAGGAGTGGATTTTAGCAGCGGTGTATTATAGCCCAGAAGTTCCTGTTGCACACAGAAGGCAATTCCTGGTTGAAGCAAACGAGGAGGGAGAGCAAAAGCACACTGTCTCTCTAGGGGGGGTTTACCGCTGTCAATAACAGGTTATAGTATTACTGCACAGGACGGAAAGTGACAATATCTGAGATATTTAGCCTGATCCACCTAGCCTATAAACCCCTCCTGATCCGAAACAGCACCCAAGTGAGCAACTCATCCAGCACAGCCACCTGGGATCTGCAGCCAGCACCACTCGACATTACATCCTTCCGAGGGATAACTCGCCTGCTTGTCATATGGCAGATAGCCACGCGCCTTGCTTCTCCTTTCCAAGTTACAGGCCTCCACATCAGGTCTGATCTTCAATCTTTATTTTATGACTGCAGACAATCTATTTTTGAAAGCCCTTAGTGTTAACAGCAATGGGAGCAAACACAAATAATTCATGCAAAGAGCAGGATATCTGAGCACTGTCCAGGTTACCGTATTCCTATTTTTATTTTGATTGCCTTTTCCCTTGCATGCTAACAAGCTAACTAACTTTTCCTTGAAAAGTATTTTTTATCTTTGACTGTCTAAAAAAGGGCTCCTCAATTTTTATTATCAGAATTAGCTCTGAACATAATTTACAGGATTTGTTTAATACTCTGTAAAGTTACGTGTATACGCTGACATGTATAGGGCCTAAGAAAGCTCTGAAACTTAGCTGGATTCGGTGTTCAATTATCTAGCAAATAAAAGCCTTAAAAGCTTATCTATCATTCTATATCTCATATTTCTGCACAGGTTATTTTACAGATGCAAGATTGGCACAGCCATTCATTCAAACCCTTTATTGCCATGTTATAAAATTCAGTTTTGCTGTTTGCTTTATAAATTACCAATGAGTAAGTCCTCATTTTCTACTAAGTAACTTATTCCAATGGTTGGTGTTTTACAGTGTTACTCATAAAAATTTTGTTTGGACCGCTTGCTTATGGTAGGTAGGTGGGCAACTAATAAGCTATGCAATGAAACATTATTGTTAGCTAACAACGTATCACAGCTTCTAAGGGTATAATAACATATAGGTAATGGTACAATAACATATAGGTAATAAGACAATTCCAACACAAATTCCTGAAAAACCATTATTTATGCTAATATACACAGCAATTGTCCGTACACCAGAGAGTAACAGCTACAAAAATAATTATTTAACTTGGCTCTTGCTGGATTATTTTTCTTCCTTTTTTGTTGTTTTTGTACCATTTTACCAGTGTTGCTCCTACAGCTGCTGCATGCTGGTATATTAGAGACTCGTGCTCAGTTCTCTGGTTTGTCTCATACCCTGAGCTGAAAGATATTTGGAAATACTGCGTGTGCCTTCTGGATGGACCCATCTGGTCAATTTGGGATACACGTTACTTGGTTCAGAAGGAGTCTTCATCACCTTCTGCCAGCTGCAGGCAGCTTTCTCCAGACAGAGTTTGGGCAGCAGATTCCTAACACCCAGGGCACTCCTGATTCTCCAGAATTAAAATGCAGCAGATGTATTCACAGGGACTCCCGGCAATGTTGCTCGAGATCCTTGGCTCAGGCCGACAGCATCAGTTTAGTATCCAAACTGTCCCTCATCTGCTGTATACTGTTGTATGTACTGCTCTTCTAATGAAACCCATCCATTGCTAGTTTCAGCAGATAGAGAAAACACAGTATACAACCACATGAGGGCAGCAAGGATTAAAATTGAAAACATTTAATAAAAGAAAAAAAAGCAACAACTATCTGCAGCTTTATTTCATAGTGTAATTCCCTCACAAATTTTCAGCGTTCTCACATACAAATTATTATTTTAGA